TCCATGAAGCTAATTCACTATTTTGTCAGCATCTTTCTACTGATTTCTTCTAAAGTATTTGAGTGTCTTAAAAATAAATCAAACCCACATCCAGATATTATTCCAGAAAAGTGCATTTCATCCTGCTCTTTTCAAAAAGTCAATAGGAAGGTCCTGGCATCAGATGGCTGTTGAATCCCTTCCAGTTCTCCTACAAATTTCCTTGCAGACTGAGCAAGTGTGTGACCTCAATCTCTCCTTTGTCTGTTTTGTCTGCTTTTCACTTAGCTCTTTAAATTCTGACACAGTGAGTAGTTAACCTACATCAGGACCCCAAAGTTGGCTCTAAATGGGGATCTGCACCTATGTTGACACACAGGCTGGTGACTAACAGCTTCAGTGTGTAATATGCGGGTGATTAACAGGCTCCGTGATTTTACTTGGCCTGATTCTCAGGCTCTCTGCAGAGTTATCTCCTCCACATGAAAGTCTCCTTTATGTGCGAATGCTCTCCGTGCACAGGGGAGGCAGACTACAGAAGAGGTCAAACAGAGGGAAATGTATTTCTAAAAAAGAATACTTGAGGTTTGAAAAACAGTGGAATTTTCTCAGAAAGCGTAATGACTTAGAAAAAAAGCAATGATTATAGCAGGTTCACTTATGCCAGGTTGCTCCATGATATGCATACATTTAGACAGATAAATAAATATATTCAAGCATATACAGTATCTATACCTTTTTTTAAAGTGGGAAAGCCCTGAATATTACATGTACTCTCCTGGTTGTGTAGCGCTTATGCCACAGTCCAGGAACCAACATGATGTTCACAGGAATCCAGATGACATACGGCTGCATTTTTTCCCCCCTCTTTCAAATATGCTAGGGTCACAGTTTAAGAAGTTTTACTATGGTTGCAACATCATGCTATTTAAAGAAGCTGCATTCTCAAGAATGAAGGCTGTGATTCAACATCTGGACAGAGTGAAATCCGTGAACCCAGCAGGCCCTGGGAATACTACTTGCTGGGCAGCAGCCACCAGCTGCTGGGGGCACCAGGCTGCCCCTCCCCAGCCCCCAGGCTGCTCTGTGGCTTGGGGACAGAGTTCCACCAAGGTTCTCTGGTGACCTGTTTCTACTGCCTTATGCACTGTCACTACAGGTCTTCGTGTGTTGAACCAGAGTGGCTAGACACGAGTAAACCCTGGGGGACCCTATTCAGATTTTTAGACGTTTCATGCTCACCTGGTGAAAGCCCGTGTCAATCTCACTGTTAAGGAGGATAGATCTGCTCTACCCATTGAGCTATCAGTCCAAACTGCTCCCATTTAACTTCCTGTCCTGCTTTTTCACAAGGCTGAAAGACTTTCCTTCTATTTCTAAATGAGCATCTTCCATCATGAGAACTGGAACTGGAAAGGACGATGGTTTTCTCTTGTCTCTCAGGACTGCTCCCCTCATAGAATACTGCCTTGGGTTCTGAAGACACATGGCCACATTTCAGGGCTCTGGGTGGAAGCCAACCTCAACCCACTGCTTCACTGACACTTGGCACAGAATCGGCCTGCCCGTCCACATATAAATGTGCACGCAGCAGCATGCTGCAGCCAACCTCGGCACCTTGACTGAGAGTAGCAATGAGATCGTAATTCTCTTCTAAGAGGACCTGGAGCCTTAAGCAAGAAGGGCAGAATCTACGTGACTAAAACATACCAACTTCCTCTTTCATAAGTCATCACATGATGAACTACAATTACAATTCCTGCCTTGTCTCCGAGAATTGCAGACGCATTGCCTCACCCTAGAAACCCTGCTCCTGTGTGTGGAGGAGGCGGCTCTAACTGCTGCAGCAGCCGCTTTGGAAGGCATCCAACTCGAGTCTGTGCTGGGGGGAGGAAGGCAAGCTGGTGGGTGGAAGACAAAAACAAAGCTATGTTTACTTAGCATACATCGATAAAGCTGCTTCGGAGCTACATGAAAGGCCAGGCAGCCATGAAAGACTTTCAATACAATATAAGGAATCGCTGCCCTGCATACAGGGCCAGCCTTAACCCCCTGGACCCCGGATTCTTTCATGGGTAGGCAATCCATAGAACTAAAATAGCCTTTCCAGGTTCCAGCAGGCGTTTCATTAGGGAAGTTACAACCACCCAGTTTCAACACTCAACTGGCAATGCACAATAAAAAGGAAACACTCTTCTTTTTGAAAAGACACGCTGTGTTCTACAAGGTCCTTCCTTCAGATCTCCCAGGGCACTGCTGCTCAGTGGTTCTATTTTGGGGCGGAGTGGCAGTCACACCCGCACTCTCTCCTCTCTGGTATGACAGGGAGCAGGGAGCGCTCGCAGATAACTGAGTATAACTAGGCCACTGTTCCAATAGTGAGTTGTTTTCACTGAACACACGGGGCCCTCAAAAAGTCCATGGAAAAACACGTGATACCAAAAACCTATGCACAAATTTCACATTCTTTCATACCCAAAGAGATCTTGTGATCCCATTCTCTCTCTCCCTGCTCCCTGCAAACTCTCAGCGTTTTGAAACCAGCTTCCCTGCGTGTCCACACGGCTCAGGTCTTAGCACAAAAACTAGACTTCATCCTCTTTGGGCCCCGGGCCCAGTGGGTGAAGTCATCTGTGGGCATGGGTGGCACAGGGTCTCAGGGAGACAGGTGATAGAAGAGGGTGCTCCACTGCAGAGGAGGCCCCGCTCTTCCAGTTTGGAAAGGGTGACGCAGGAAGGCAACTGCAAGGCAGGATCTGAGAAGGGAGGCCTGGGAAGATCTCTGGAGCAGGCACTCCCTCTGGAAACCCCCAAGGGAAGACAGTCAAGGTTAGCCTATAAAAACACTCAGATCTGGCATTGCGCTTTCTCCACCATTTTCAAACATGTCTTTTCATGTGTTCTAGGCAGCTCCTCCGTTGTCTCGCTTAACCAAGTGTTTTTCCCTCTTCCCCGTAGTTAATCCTTTGAAGCAACCTGGCATTTTCAACAGCAACAACTTGAGAAAAATGTCAGCAGGATTTTTTTTTTCTCTCCCTCTCCACCTACCAATCCAGTTGTAGGGACGATAATATAATGAGTACCCTGTTCTTCCCACACGGAGCCTGCTCATTCCAGTCTCGGGGAGAGAAGGGAGCCTGGCTCTGCAGCCACGGCAGCTGCGGACACTGCTCAGACAAAGCTGCGGCGCCCAAGCCCCACGAGACGCAAGGCCAATCCAAAACCGAGGACCGCGACACACACCAGCTCCTCCTCCCGAGAGAAGTGGGGAACTCTAGTGTTTAGTGCAGTACGGGCAGCGTGGCTGCCAAGAGCTGGAGAGAGGCGCAGGCCCGGCCCGGGTGGGCCATGGCGGCCGCACCCCACCTTCTCACCCCACATGTGTCTGCTGCACCCACCATGACGAGGCCCGGGGCTTGGGTGCTGCAGAGGGCGCATGGCCGCCCCGTCAGCCAGCCAGCCCACGCGGGGACCACCGCCCCCCGCGCCCCGACTCCCAGCGGACACCACCCCGCCTCCTGCAGGCCAAGTTGGGGCTCGGGGGCGGGGCAGTGGGCGGGGCGGCAGGGGCGGGCCCGGAAGGCCAGCGGGGGCGGAGCCTGCGCCGTGACGTGCCGCGCCGCGCTGGCCGCAGCCCCCGAATCCCTGGAATGTGCCTTGGTTCCGCGAGGCCCCGGTGCCAGCGGCGCCCGGGCACGTTCGCGCCGAGCGTGCGCACTCGGGCGGCGGCGGCCCGCGCCCACGTCACGCAGCCGCCGCGCGGACGTTACTGGAGGCGCCCCGCCGGGAAGGCGGGCCTCGGCGTTCGCGAACTTCCCTCCGGAGGGCTCTGTGGAAAGCGCGCGAGCGACATGGAGGACACCGGGCGGGGCTTGGGAACAGATGACTTTTTCCTGAGTTTGTAAAAACCGTGAGGGACTGGCAGGCGTGTGTGTCGTTCCTAAGGCAGAAACAAGTGCAAAAGCGTTCCTGAGAGATGTGCTCACGTGTCCAACACTTGGCTTTCAACTTCTCAAAAAAACCCCAAACCGTGAGGCAGGCTAGCCCCACACTGGCCAGCGAGTCGGACAGAGACCCAAGCTTCAAAGTGGTTTTTTTGCTTTTTGTTTGTCTAAATTTTCGTACGCTCTGACGGAAAGGACGCGAGCAGGGAAACCAAATCCTGACAGGAGTCGGCAGGGCCGTGCTCACGTCACGGAAGCCGACAGCTCCCTCGCGGCGGCGCGAACCCGCGGAGGAGCCGGCTGTCCCGGGCGCGCTCCCGGGCGGAGGGGCGGGAGGGGGAAGCCGCGCGTGCGCGCGCGCGCGCGAGGGGAGGGGGGCCCCGCGCAGGCGCGGTGCGAGGCTGTCGAAGAATCAAGTCTGTAGAAGTGGAGCGGCCGCGGCGGGCAGCAGCAGCAGCAGCGAAGCCACCTAGGCGGCGGAGCTGAGGCGGGCTGGGCGCTTGACGCGGGCGCTGGAGAGCGGCGACGCCGGGAGCTGTGAGAGAGCGGCGGAGCGACCCGCGGCCCGCGCCGCGCCCGAGCCCCGCGCCGCCCGACCACCGCCGCCGCCGCCGCCGCCTCGGCGCGGCATGCCCCGCCGCTCGGGCTGAGCCTGCTCCGGCGGCCGCCCCCCGGCCCCCGCCCCCCCGGCCTCCCCGCCCCCCGCCCCGCACCCGGGGCCGGCCCCCGCAGCCGCCGCCGCCGCCGCCGCCGCGACCTGCTGCGCTCCCCCGCGCCCGCGCGGCCCGTCTTCGCCCCGGTCTGGAGGCCCGCCGCGGCTCCGGCCGAGCCCCCGCCGCCGCCACCGCCGCGCCCCGCCGCGCAGCCCGCCCGCGCCCGCGCTCGTGCCGGCGGCCGGGGGGACCTGCTGCCGCGGCCCCTCGCCCAGCGCCCGCCGCCCCTCGTGCACCGGGGGCGCTGCGCGGGCGCCGAGCCTCCGCGGGCTTTGCCGCCACCGCCGCCGCTGCTGCTGCCGCCTCTGCGGCCGCCGCCGCCGCTGGTCGGGGAGACGCGGGGTTGGGGGGGGAGGAGGGCTCGCGTGGTGCCGGCGGGGGGCGGCGGGGCCCCCTCCTCCTCCTCCTCCTCGTCCTCCTCGGCCCCCGGTGCTGCCTCGGACATGGCCGCGGCGGTGGCGGTGGCGGCCGCGTCCCGGCGCCAGTCGTGCTACCTGTGTGACCTGCCCCGCATGCCCTGGGCCATGATCTGGGACTTCACCGAGCCCGTGTGCCGCGGCTGCGTCAACTACGAGGGCGCCGATCGCGTCGAGTTCGTCATCGAGACGGCGCGGCAGCTCAAGCGGGCGCACGGCTGCTTCCCGGAGGGCCGCTCCCCGCCGGGCGCCGCGGCCCCGGCCGCCGCCAAGCCGCCGCCGCTCTCGGCCAAGGACATCCTCCTGCAGCAGCAGCAGCAGCAGCAGCTCGGCCACGGCGGGCCCGAGGCGGCCCCCCGCGCGCCGCAGGCCCTGGAGCGCTACCCGCTGGCCGCCGCGGCCGAGCGACCCCCGCGCCTCGCCTCCGACTTCGGCGGCAGCCGTCCCGCCGCCGGCCTGGCCCAGCCCCCGACGCCGCAGCCGCCGCCGGTGAACGGCATCCTGGTACCCAACGGCTTCTCGAAGCTGGAGGAGCCGCCCGAGCTGAACCGCCAGAGCCCGACGGCCCGCCGCGGCCACGCCGTGCCGCCCACCCTGGTGCCGCTCATGAACGGCTCGGCCGCCCCGCTGCCCGCCGCCCTCGGCCTCGGGGGTCGCGCCGCCGCCTCCCTGGCCGCCGTGTCGGGAGCCGCCGGCCTGGGCTCGGCGCAGCCCGCGGAGCTGGGCGCCCACAAGAGGCCGGCGTCCGTGTCCAGCAGCGCGGCGGTGGAGCACGAGCCGCGGGAGGCGGCGGCCAAGGAGAAGCAGGCGCCACCGCCGCCCTCGTCGTCCTCGTCGTCCTCGTCGTCGTCCGCGCACCGGGGCCAGGCCGACGGCTTGGGCGCCGCGGCCGGGGCCGCCGAGCTGGGCGCCTCCGCCGAGGGCAAAGGCCGCGGAGGGCCCGCAGAGCAGGACTGGGTCAACAGGCCCAAAACCGTGCGCGACACGCTGCTGGCGCTGCACCAGCACGGCCACTCGGGGCCCTTCGAGAGCAAGTTTAAGAAGGAGCCGGCCCTGACTGCAGGCAGGTTGTTGGGGTTCGAGGCCAACGGGGCCAACGGGTCTAAAGCAGGTAGGGGCGGCTGTGGAGCGAGGGGGTCCAGGGGACAAGAGGAGGGGGCCCCCCGAGAGCAGAGGAGGGGTGGTTTCTCTCCTTGCATCGCCCTAACCCCCCCCAGCCCAGGAACAACAAACACCCAACTTCCTGATGTGCCCGAGGCGGAACCAGTGCTTAGTGGCAACGTGTTCAAGTGCTGAAGCAGCACAACAGAGATGAGTCAGGCTGGGCTGATAGGCACTGACACGGGCTTTTCCTTTCCCAGCACATTCTTGGATGGGAGCATGAGGGCACCCGTCACCTTTTAGCCCCGCGCGGGGCGGGGGGGGGGGGGGGCATTTTAACCATCACATGCACAGTTCAGACCGGGGTATGTGCATGCATGTGCAAAAAAGCAGGCTGTCTCATATGTGCCCTCTGCTGGGGCCTCCTTTTCCTTTCTCCCTCGGCATGTAGGGCCTCAGAGCCCCCTCAGTTTTAAATGTTGGAGTTTCATGCAGCCACTTGAAGGCGGCATTTTGTCTGTGTGCCTTTTTATTTTTTTAGAGGGTAGAAATTCAGTAAGATGTTCGGTTTGATTGTAGTACATGTGCTTTGCGGTGCACTTTTCATTTATTTCCCGCCTTTTCCCTTTTCTGTGTTTTGTTTTCTTTCCAGTTGCAAGAACAGCAAGGAAAAGGAAGCCTTCTCCAGAACCGGAAGGCGAAGTTGGGCCCCCTAAGATCAATGGAGAGGCCCAGCCGTGGCTGTCCACGTCCACAGAAGGGCTCAAGATCCCCATGACGCCTACATCCTCTTTTGTGTCTCCTCCACCGCCCACTGCCTCCCCTCATTCCAACCGGACCACACCGCCTGAAGCGGCCCAGAATGGCCAGTCCCCGATGGCAGCCCTCATCTTAGTGGCAGACAATGCAGGGGGCAGTCACGCCTCCAAAGATGCCAACCAGGTTCACTCCACCACCAGGAGGAACAGCAGCAGTCCACCTTCTCCATCTTCTATGAACCAAAGAAGGCTGGGCCCCAGAGAGGTGGGGGGCCAGGGGGCGGGCAGCACAGGAGGACTGGAGCCCGTGCACCCTGCCAGCCTCCCGGACTCCTCGTTGGCAGCCAGCGCCCCGCTGTGCTGCACCCTCTGCCACGAGCGGCTGGAGGACACCCACTTTGTGCAGTGCCCGTCGGTCCCTTCGCACAAGTTCTGCTTCCCTTGCTCCAGACAAAGCATCAAACAGCAGGGAGCTAGTGGAGAGGTCTATTGTCCCAGTGGGGAGAAATGCCCTCTGGTGGGCTCCAATGTGCCCTGGGCCTTTATGCAGGGGGAAATCGCCACCATCCTTGCTGGAGATGTGAAAGTGAAAAAAGAGAGAGACTCGTGACTTTTCGCTTTCAGAAAAACCCAATGATTATCCTTAACTAAAACTGCTTGAATTGTATATATCTCTCCATATATATATATATCCAAGACAAGGGAAATGTAGACTTCATAAACATGGCTGTATAATTTTGATTTTTTTGAATACATTGTGTTTCTATATTTTTTTGACGACAAAAGGTATGTACTTATAAAGGCATTTTCTTCTTTTGTTAACGTTATTAGCATATCTTTGTGCTTTATTATCCTGGTGACAGTTACCCTTTTATGTAGGCTGTGACTTGCGCGCTGCTTTTTTAGAGCACTTGGCAAATCAGAGAAATGCTTCTAGCTGTATTTGTATGCACTTATTTTAAAAAGGAAAAAAAAAAAAGCCAAATACATTTTCTGACATTGTAAGATTGCCTTACTGTCTGTTATTCCTTACTGCTGGCCCCTGTCTCAGGCTGGAGGGCAGCTGACTGGTGGAGAAGGAAAGGAAAGGGGCACTGTTGGCAGGCGGGCATGCTGCTGGAAGTACCGCCAGGTTGACCCCACAACGTTGTCCTCTCAGGAGCAGGAAGATGGATTTTGAATCTCTGTTTTGTTCTTAAAGTTCCGTTCTGGGGAGGTGGCTGACTCTGAGAGAGGCTGTTGAGAGGTTTCTCAGGAGTGTGTGGCTGGGGGGTAGTTTTCCTGGTAGAGGCCCAGTTGACCGCTGTGCACTGTGCACGTGACCAGTTGTAAGATGACAATGCTGCATGCTAGTTGGTTGCATAATACACAGGTCCAGTGATGGAAGGCGGCTCCAGCGGGGGGTGGTGTGCACAAGATGGCACTGCCATCTTGGAGCAGAGCCTGGCTCTGCAGCGCCGCTCCTGCTTGATAGCCACCCTGGAGCTTGGTTGGTCGGTGCTGTTGTTGTTTCCCTTGAAAGAGTCACAAGCGAAGTTACAGTCCAGGTGAACTCGGAGATGATGGCATTGGTTCTGTTTTGTGTTTTGTTTTTTAATCATCTACCTGTAGTGCTATTGCTGTGGATCCTATCACCTACACCCTGTTTCTAGTGAGTGCTAAAATACAGTATGGTACAATGACAGTAACAGGCACCGTGGTGCTGCCAGGATTGCCCGTGGGCATATCAGGGACAGCCCAGATGTGGGTGGAGGAAACCTGTAATTTCCTTCTTACATGTATTTGAAATACCAAGTGAATAATACTTTTCTGGGGGAAAAAAAAAAAAGTGATGAACTAGTGAAAATCAAAGAAATGAAGGATTTTATGTACTAGGCCCCCACCTCAAACTATTTTTTGGAAGCCTTTTGTAAACTAACTTCTTTTGATCACTGTTTTACATCAGTAAAATGATTTTTTTAATCAATACATCCTCAGTTACTAGAAATAGTTGTCTCACAGTGATACCAGGTGTTCTGTGCTGTTATGATTTAACATTGACAGGAACACGTAAGTCCTTATGTTCAGGGGTTTGTAACTTGGCCTTCCGATTAGGCTCAATTCTGACTTCTGGGTCTACCGCAGTCTATGTGGATCATTCACAGATTAGCTTCTTTTAAGTTGGAAAAACACAGATTGCTAACCAACCTTGGTTTCTTTTTTTTAGTTATGTGTTTGTCTTTTAAATTGTTCAAAATATTTTTAATGGTCAAGTTACTAACACTTGAAAATCAGATACTGCACCAAATACAGTATTTTTTCGTAGTGTTTTTAGTGAGTGCACCTATAATTAATGCCATGCAAATTCATGTTACCAGTCATTGTTATACTACAAACAGACTTGCATGATTAGCCAGTTTGTTGTTACACCTTAAAAAAAAAAAAAAGTTGGAGTATATATGACTCGGATCAGACTGGTCTCTCTTCTGTGAATACACACCTGCAGAAACAGAGTCAGTTTCACATACCCGTAAAGACATTTGTAAAGAACTCAACTGTTACGGTCTGTTGTGTAAATGTGTATCTAGGCACTTTATTATAAACTGGAATTTGACCTCATAGATGTTGCGACTTGATCAGTCATTTGACCTAATTTGTGGTAGCTATCTGTATGTTTTGCAATCTTAATACAGATAAGCTTTCTAAAAAGATCAATAAAGAACGTTCCTGTTTGATGTGGCTAAGTCTGTCCAGCTGTAGAGAAGGATGCCCGCGTTGCTCTGTGCTGTTTAGAGGGAGAGCATGCACCGCTTTAAAGGGCTGTCATGGAATTAACTGCTGTTCAGACTCAGATCTGCAGGCGTCGGGACTGGGCCTCAGAGGCCTGCATGGAAGGCTGGAAGGCTGCACGGTGTCGATCCGGGTTCTTTCTCTGGCGTTCTCTTAAGTTCCAGACTGAGCAGTGGGACTTGGGTTTGATCTTTTGTTGTACCTGATGACAGTGCAGAGATTCTCCACAGCTGGATGAGAATGTCGGAGAGCTACTTACTGTACGTGGGCAGTATCAGATTTCAGATCCTCGTATTTCAGCTGTGCTTTTAATACTAAGAATACTAGGGGACGGGGGTGTTGAGGCTTTCCCTTTTTTGCTTTAATGATTTATAGAATTTAACAGATGTACTGTCTTTCATGTGGCCTCACATTTAAAGAACGTACACACACACATGGTTTACAACTTTTACTATATATCTTTCCTTGGCCACCAAGTATTTTAAAAGTGTGCCACCTTTTAACCTTTACTTTTTTTTAAGTTGAAGGTGATAACTTTTTCTATAAATGATGAAACTCATGTCAACTGAAGTGAGTGTAATCTCAGATATCAACATTATATTTTAAAAATCACGCTATGGAAATATCACCTGCATTCTGTCATTTGTCAGATTTACAGTACCTTTTTTTTCCCTTATAACTTTTAGCATTAAATAAAAATAAAATTGGGAGCACTGACCATTTTCTGAGGCCTTTTTTTAACTTTTAAAAGTAAGCTTAGAATGGTTACTGTTTTCATCACTCATGGCAATGTGGTTAAAGAATGTGTGGGGTTTCGGGTTGGGCTGTGACTGGAACTGTAGGAAAAGAATAGGAGATAAAAGACAAGGAAGAAAAAAGGCAACTGATGGCTAGGTACTGGGGAAAGGGCACCTGGAGAGGGGGATCAGATAAAAGAGTGGAACAAAGTACAGCTAGAAAGCACTTGTTTATTTTTCAACCAGCAATCTGGCCAGCCATTCTGCAGTAGTAGATTGGAAGGAGAAGATAGTCACGGCATTGAAAAGACAGTCAAGACCTGGAGCTGCCCTTTGGAAAGCTCTGGAATAAAACAGCCATTTTGGGCCATAGGAAACGCACTAGAGACAAAAAAAAAAAAAAAGGGTGGGGGCGGGGGCTGGAGGCAGAGAGCAGCCTACCCCTGGGAATGATGTGTGAGCCAAAGCCATGTGTAAGTTTTATTGATATCCTGAAGCTGAGGTTTATAAATAGAGATAAAAGGTGGAGAGCACTGAGCTCCATCTCTAGACTACCGCCTACCATCACAGAGTAAGACGTTTCCTAGATGTTGCAGCTTTTAGTCTTTTTATTGATCAATGGCTTGGCAGGCTTCTCTATGAAAGGAAGTTGTGAAACTTTTTATAAAAAAAGGAGTTTGAGGCTAGGATATACATAGAAGTATGGTATGTTTTAAATTAAGCAGCATCAGTGCATATGTGCTTGAATTTTCATTAGGGTGGTCCAGTAACATGGGCGGCCCGTCACTGTGTTTCTAACTGTTCACCCAGGAGCCTGTCGAAGGCAGTTTTCAAGAAACAACATAATTTTCCATTTATTAATTAGGTTAAAAGAAAAAGCTATTAATTTCCTTGACTTAGCAGCTAAGTTTTTAAACTTGGTGAAACTGAAAAACTTCTTGCTTGCAGAAGTCATTTTTAAAATTTCAAAAGCTCTTCCTAAAGATAAACTTCAATGATTGCATTCAGTTTTCAGTTAAAAACAAACAAACCCCAACTCTTGATGTGGCAGATGTCTTTGTTTATTCCCCAAAGGAGCACAAGTTGAAAGGAAAATATGGAACTCCTTTTAATTCCTAGACTTCTAAGTCCCTCTTTACTCAAAGTTGTTTTGCATGTGATTTAGAGATGGTTTTATTTGGTTAGTGAAGAGTACAGTGTTTCTCTTCCTGATTCCTAAGTGTATGCGTGGAATCATTCAGAAAAATGGCTCAGTTGTGTGTAGGCCACTAAAGTCCTGAGTCACCCTCATTTGCTTGCCTTTTGTTCATCGGGAACAGTGTGAGAAGACACGCCTTTCCTCTGTCACAGATCAAGGTCAGATGCACCAATGAATGGAATACATATTTACCCACTTCATCAGCTGGGGTTCTGGAAATGGGGAGGGGGCAGGGTGCCTTAACTCCTTCACTGCCACTGGCCAGGCCTCCAAGTGAGAGTGAAGGGGGTTACTGCCCAGCTTCTTCTCCATTAAGATCCCTTGTTGCTGTTTGTGTTGACGGCCTGCATTGTCCTTAGTATTTCTGGACCCCTCATTACAATTGAGAAGACACATAAACAGATAAATAAGTTGATTGGGAAAACACCTATTAAGAAGATGGACAGTGACTAGATTTATGGATTATCTGTGGATTTCTGTATTCATCTCCACATAAATCAGTAAGCAGCAATGGCTCTACACTGTCTCTACTTATCATTTACAAGTTCATGTGTACCTATCAGAGAAATCCATCAGTATGTCACCTATTTCTCATGCCAACACACCTAAAATGCTTGATTTAAAACCACTTTTCATTGGTTTGTGAATTCAAAGTATGACTAGTGTTTTTAGCAGATTGTAAAATTTAAAATGTTCTTAAACTTCATTTATGTCTGTTTTAGAGAGAGATATGTATGTTTGCACAACTTTGATGCTAGAACTGTGTGTGCTGCTTCTGTGTGGCATTCAGCAACAGAAGAAAGATGTGAGGCACAAAGTATACCACAGGCAGATCATCTAGTCAGCTAGATGTTGTCCTAAAAACTGTTCTTTTTCACCAAACTGGAAAAACAATAAAATTTCCTTGTGAGAACAGTCCTATTAGGATGACATAAATAGCTTATAATATCCAACGTTTCTTGCGGGGGGGAGGGGGTTGCAGAATGGCCCCCTGAGAACTCCCTAGCTCAAAACCAGAAAAAGGGCTCTTCAGTACAAGCAAAATGTATCACAGAGTCACGTGGGAAGCCTCTGGGGGATGTGTTTCCTCCCGGGTCAGATGAGGTCTGCAGACCAGACTGCAGGATTCCTGCTTCAACCAGCAGCACCAGTACGCTGCTTGTCTCAGGCTCTGAATGGGCTTTCGAAGTCCATTGCATAATCCGAAGAGCCTCCAGCAAGCCGGTGGAGCAGACAGACACCCTTGCTGCCGAGATAAGACATCCTGGATAGGGCAAGAATGTCACATTTGAATATTTCTAAATCGAGTTTGCATTTTGGAGAAAATGAACTGTGTTACATCATCTTTTGAGCCCATCACTTACTACTTTTACTTTGCAGTTAGCATTTCTAAGTATTTAGATCATCGCCACCAATTAGCGTTCAGATGCCTCTGAGGGGCCGAGCGTCACACATGAGTCAGGTTTTGTCATGCAGGCACTCAAGGTAGCAGTTTTGGAGACATTTAGGTCATTGCAGATTTCTCTACTAGGTAGAAAATATCTTTCCTATGGCAGTTCAATAACATATTTTGAACTTTGTATGTTGCTATTTATACTTCCCGGAAATAGAAACAGCATTTCTTTAGGGCGAAAGCTGCAATTTAACCTATGGAAAGAGGTTTTATTAAAAGAGAACTTTGGATTCCTGAGTTCTTCCTTCTTTTAGGGAATGATTTTTTTAAATATTTGCCATACTGGTAAGATTCTGCAGAGAAGTGATATGCAGGAGGAGGGGCTTTCTGGGTCATAATAAACCAGCATTTCTTTACACTCAGCCTAGGATGGGCCTGCCAAGTGCTCCCCAGCCTGAAACCATGTGAGCTACAGAACAGAGAATGCTGCCGTTAGCCTTAACCCAGGCTGAAAGCCCTTTACCCCCTGTTTTGTTATTTCTGCTTGCAACCAGCAATTCAATTAGCTTTTCTGGTGATAAAAGATAAAGATTTATTGTACCCCACATTATAACCGAAATCAGAATTTCACAGGAGGGTCACAGTCATTAGAGAAGTTTGGGAATACTATTATCTTAATACGCACCATATGGATTGTTGCTGTTATTATTTAACACCTACCAAGCAGGCACCTCCTCCCAGGGTTTGAACAGCTGAGAGTCCCCGTTTTCGCGGGGGCGCTGACAGTCAAAGCCAGAGGTAGGCAATGTGTTTGCCTAGCTGAGCAAGTATTGACAAGAGTTAGAGCGACTTGGTTTCCTTCCAGGGCTTTGGAAAGTATAATTAAGGCTAATTCTCACTTGCAGAACTGAGTCTCTTCCTAGAATTTCGATCTGCAACCAAGGTACGATGCTGACATAGGAACACGAGCTCAAGTCCAAAGTGCATTTTGTAAAGGACGTTCATTACGCCCGCCCGGTGTGCAACAGTCAGGCACCAGGCACCGAGCTGTTGGGCCCCATTTATCTACACCCAGATCAAAGGGCTAGGTGAGAACTCTCAAAACCGTAGCCTTTGCTTCCCGCCCCCCGGCTCCCCCACCCTCCAACACCCCTTTATTCGTGGCTCAGCAAAGCTGTTTGATTAAAAAAAAAAAAAAAAAAAGGAAGAAAGCCAGCGGCTCTGCTCTGCCAAGCCCTGTTTACTGGAGGGGAAGGAAAGGGGAGGACACACCCTCCCTCTGCAGCCGCCCGCGAAAGGTCCGCGAGAAGCCCACGCTGGGGTTGCCAGGGAGGACCCCCGGATTCGCCCTGCACCCGTCGGACTTCCATTCTAGAACTTTTCCGACGTTGCAGCGACTCCCCGTCCCGTCCTGCGCACGTGGAGCCGCGGGTCACCGGGCAGGACGTCGCGGCGGGGCGGAGCGGGGCGGGGCGCGCGGGCCCGGAAACGGGAAACGGCCCCGCGCGCGCCTCTGCGCCCCGCCCCG